AAACAGGTTCAATCCAAGGAGGAGAATTAGAAACAAATAAATACCCGGGGCTCAAGTTGAGCCATCAGTTGGGACAGACAAGCAGCTTGCACAGGCCTGGAGGGAAGGGCTTCTCTTTCTAATGAATTGGCTCTGCCTCACCAGCGCAGGATGTCCATCCAAGCAACTGATAGAAAAGGTCTCCCAAGACAAGCCCTCGAGGTTCGCTGTCAGAACTCCCACGAGTCACTTCTCACTCTCTATGTCGCTGGAACCTGCTCAATAGCATCGACTGCTAAGATGCTATTAAAACTCAAACCAAGCAACTCTTGCCAAACCCCAGGGGGAAAGATGTCATGAGTGAAAGTTCTAAAAAGATCCTGGAAATCTGTGTGCATGAACCACAATAGGCCACTGAAGTCAGAGCAACAAGGGGAGCAGGGGTGTCAAAACTGGGACCCCCATGAAACACTGGCTCTCTCCCCTCAGCCTGCTTGAGGGAGGCGATACCTGGGCCCCCATCTACAGTCTCAGCCACAGGATGCCTTCTCCACCTTTGATCCGTTAGTTCAGTTCGGTCGTGTCCGACTCTTTGTGACCCCATGGACTGCAGCTCACCAGGCCTCCCTGTCCATCACCAACTCCCAGAGTTTACTCAAACTCATGTCCATTGAGTCGGTGGTGCCATCCAACCATCTTATCCTCTGTCATCCCCTTCTCCTGCCCTCAATTTTTTCCAGCATCAGGGTCTTTCCCAACAAGTCAGTTCTTCACATCAGGTGGCCGAAGTATTGGAGTTTCAGCATCAGCGTCAGTGCTTCCAGTGACTATTCAGGACTGATTTCCTTTAGGATGGACTGGTTGGATCTCCCTGCAGTCCAAGGGACTCTCAAGAGTCTTCTCCAACACCACAGTTCAAAAGCATCAGTTCTTTGGCACTCAGCTTTCCTTATAGTCCAACTCTCACATTCATACATGACCACTGGAAAAACTATGGCCTTGACTAGACAGACCTTTGTTGGCAAAGTAATGTCTCTGCTTTTTAATATGCTGCCTCTTTGGATCACTAGAGGGGAAAAAGAAAATTCCTTCTCAGCAGCTTCAGTACCAGGCTGTTGCTCTCATTGCTGGGGGCTACTCCTAAGGCCCCTTCAGCGCCCCCAACAGGCTGAGGTGGGCGTTGCAGCCAGGAATCTCCCCAGGTGGCACAGTGGCGAAGGATCCATCTGCCAGGGCAGGAGATGCCGGTTCAATCACCGAGTCAGGACGATGCTCTGGAGAAGGAAATGGTTGCCCGCTCTAGTATTCTTGCCTGGGCTTGAATGGAAAATTTCGTGGACAGAGGAGCCTGGCAGGCTACAGTCCACGGAGTCGCAAGAGAGTTGGACATGTCTGAGCATGCAGGCATACAGTGTTCAGGTCAGGGTCGTAGGGAGCTAGGGCATTGATCCTCCTGCTGACCTCAGATTGGATTTACCAAGGAAACTCAGTAACTTCTGCCCTGATCTCTCCTTTGCCCATCCGTGGTCACATTCATTCTGGGTGCTGCTGTCTTCAGGGAATCAGCCTACGTTTATGTTGGGCCCATCACTTAGCCAGTCTGAACCTCAGCTTTCTCATCTGTCAAATGGGAATGAGCCTCTCCTGGTTGCAAGAAGAGACTGATTTATCTTATTAAATATTTTTTTTAATTATTATTTATTTGTTTTTAATTGGAGGATAGTTGTTTTCCAATGCTGTGTTGGTTTCTGCCATACATCAACATGAATCAGCCACACTTGTACACATGTCCCCTCCCTCTTGAGGGCTTCCCTGGCGGCTCAGACAGTGAGGAATCTGCCTGCAATGCGGGAGACCTGGATTCCATCCCTGGGCTGGGAAGATCCCCGGAGGAGGGCATGGCAGCCCAGTCCAGTCCCACCCCTCTAGGCTGTCACTGAGCACCGTTGAGCTCCAGGTGTTATACAGCAACTTCCCATAAGCTGCCTATTTTACACACGGTTCAGTTCAGTTCAGTTCCGTCGCTCAGTCGTGTCTGACTCTTTGCAACCCCGTGAATCGCAGCACGCCAGGCCTCCCTGTCCATCACAAACTCCCGGAGTTTACTCAAACTCATGCCCATCGAGTCGGTGATGCCATCCAGCCATCTCATCCTCTGTCATCCCCTTCTCCTCCTGCCCCCAATCCCTCCCAGCATCAGGGTCTTTTCCAACGAGTCAACTCTTCTCATGAGGTGGCCAAAGTATTGGAGTTTCAGCTTCAGCATCAGTCCTTCCAATGAACACCCAGGACTGATCTCCTTTAGGATTGACTGGTTGGATCTCCATGCAGTCCAAGGGACTAATACATATGTATTTCAATGCTATTCTCTCAATTTGTCCCACCCTCTCCTGCCCACACTGCGTCCATAAGTCTGTTCTCTATATCTGAATTTCTATTCTTGCGCTGCAAATAGGTTTATCAGTACCACTTTTCTAGATTCCATGTATATGCATTAACATACAATATATGTTTTTCTCTTTTTACTTATTTTTCTTCAAATAACAGTCTCTAGGTTCATCTACCTAGAGACTTATTTAGATTACATCAGAAGTAAGGACACGCTTGGAAATAAGAATGATAAGGATCGCGAACATGGGACCATTTTGCCAAGAGACTGAATTGTGTTAGGTTCCGAGTGAGAGTTTTTAGGGTTCAACAGCTGAACTGCAAACTGATCAATAGCTGCGGGGGTCGAGGATCAGGGTTCCTGACAAAGGGTATTCCCTCATCCCAACCCCGTTGCATTAACAGGACTCGGCTGATGCCTCTCCGTGTGTTTTCCTGGGAAAAGCCCTTCTGAAGGGACAGGGTAACACTTGTTTTCCCAGTTGGGCCCTTTCTGTGTGAAGCTACATGGTAGGGGGCTGGACTGAATGCAGGTTGCCTGTTCTTGAACCCATGTCGGCCCCTGGTTTAATGAGTCTGCAGAGGTCAGGGTCGCTAAAAATAGACAGAGGAGGTGTTTCATGCTTCACCTTCAGCAGGTGAGTCATGCTTCCCTCATAGGCCATGTCATAAGGATTTTGACATAAGTGTCCAGACCCTCATCACTGCCTTGGAGAGTCTGGTTAGGTCAGAGGTGGTCAAAAAAATCTGGATGTCGAGCCATAGGTGAGATCTGATGGGATGATGGAGCGTGGGACAGGGGCTTGGCTTCCCCGCCTCCCTGGTTGCTCCCAGCCCTGCCCCATGCCCTCCCCCACCAAGACCACTGCAGCTCTGCCTGGGGTGGGAACTGAGGTGCCTTTGTGGGGCAGCCTGTGTTTGGTGTTGGCCTCCAGCCCAGGTGGGGACCTGAGTGTGAACACAGGGAGGTCAGTGTTGGGCACAGTGTCCAGCATGTCTCAGGTCAGAGCCTGATGGTGGTCGTCTCCTCGGTCAGACAGGGCCACATTGTGGCAGGTGAGTGGCTTGGTAGAGGCCCCTGCTTCAGTCCCCACGTCTGGATCTCAGCCTTGTGGGAGGGTGAGCTGCAGACCCAGCTATAATGTGCTGGACTCCTGACCCCGGGAAGGTGTGAGATCATGCGTTTGTGTTGTTTTAAGTAAGTCCTAAGTTTATGGCAATTTGTTATTTGGCAATGGAAAACACAAGCCCATGAGAATATGAGTCCCCAAGAAATTTGCAGAAATACTAGTGAGGGTTTGGAGTGCTTATCGGCTATGCAATTTGGAGGGTCCAGGCCCTTGTTTGCTAGACTCTGAGGAGTAGAGGGGACCATCTGAGACCATGTTCCACCAGGCTCTGCCTTCTGCACTTTGCTGCTTCATGAGGTAGACTGTGGGATGCGCTCCTACAAGGTGATGCAGGCCAGCTCTGGGCCCAGGTCCCCTGAGCAGGTGGGGTGTTGGTCAGCTCTCCCTGGAAGGGTGAAGTCACCTGGGAGCTTGCTCAAACCCTCACCTTCCCAGGATATACATTCCACGAGGAGAAGACAGAGCAAGACTGAAACCACGAGTGTGTGAGGTGAGGACAAATGCTACCGAGAACCACCAGGCAGGGCTGGAGGCAGAGGCGGTACTGGGCCAGGAGGAGATTTTACGGATAGAGACCACGGGAGACTGTGCAATAGGAAGGTGTCCCCGGGAGGGGGGATCCAGGGGGGGAGCTCTGTGCATAGAGTCTGGGGAGGGGCCATCCAGGCTGAGAGGAGCACAGGTGCAAAGATCCTGAGGAGGGGGGTCGAGGAGACCAGGAGCAGGAGCCAGGGTCGGGGAGGAGGCCCAGGGGCACTGGGGCAGGGGCAACACATGAGGTCTTTAAATCCAGTGGAAGACTTGGGCTTTTACTCTGAACCAGAAGGTGCCACGTGAAGAGTCTACGCCAGGTCAGGTGTAAAAAGTGCTCAGTGTTAACAATTGTTAGTGTCAGCCCATTTTTCACTTTTGGGCTTCCCAGTTGGTAGTAGTGGTAAAGAACCCACCTGTCAATGCAGGAGACACAAGAGACGTGGGTTCAGTCCCTGGGTCAGGAAGATCTTGTGCAGAAGGAAATGGCAACCCACTCCAGTATTCTTGCCTGGGAAACACCACGGACTGGGAAGGTGTTGGACTACAGTCCATAGACTGGCGAAGAGTCAGATGGGACTGAGCAACTCACACACACATTTTACACTTTTAAGAGAAAATGTATTGGCTAATCTAATTTTACAAGCAGTTTAAGGAGGGAGTCCGAGAAGAAAACATCTGAAACCCCCTCTTCTGTCTGCAAGCGGTGCTTGCACCACCCCCTAGTCCTCTCTGAGGACTTTGTTCGACATCTCAGTCCTTTGGCTGCTTCTGGGGTATTCGTGGGTGTTTGGGTCCTTCTTGGAATGCCTTAAACTCTTCAGAGATTCTAGAGGCCTGGTAACTGGCATGGAGGAAAGCATTCAGGCAGGTGAAAGAGAAAGACTGCACAGAGCCTTCGAGAATTTATTGGATGCTTCAGCCTCTTTTTATACCCATAGCCTTAGGAATTCTGCTTAAGCCTGTGTCTTCAGCAAAAATCTTTTTTTTTTTTTTTTAGCAAAAGTCTTTGAATGTTTCCTTGTCATCGAAATAGTACAGACCGGTAGCTGTTCACAACTCAGAAATGAGCACCAACTGTCAGAGGACTCCCATGCAGGTCAGTCTGGTCCCAGTGCAGGGAAGGGGACTTTCCATGGGAGAGCAAGTGGTTCTTTCTTAAGAGATGAATTGTTCAGCTGAACAGAGGCTCCAACCAGCCTCCCTAACCACTGTGGCAGCTGTTTCTGTGGCTCCTGCTGGCGCTGGGCACATTGAAAAAAAGAGCAAGGTTGGAATTGAGAGATGCTTTGGGCATCGGTGAAAGGAAGAGCAAGTGAAAGAGTCCGTGAGTGGCGGGCAGAGCCCTCCTGGATCACCAGCCCTAGGTTGACAGGGCTCGGCCCCTTTCACGGAGAGCAGACAGGATACTTAGCTTGGCTCCCTGGCATTAGACAGATCATTTTGCTTCAGATAAGGCACAAGAACATGTGTTGGGGGCACTCCTGAGGCTCTGAGACCTAACAAGAAGGTCAGTTGCCGTCTCCACTCCGAGCAAGTTGAAGCTACAGGGCAAGGCTGGGGAGGGCGGGTCTGTGCTTTGTATTAGCAGTATCATTAGTGAGGAATGGGTGCCGGGCGCTGCATAGATTCTGCAGGGATAGAAAGCCATGGGGGCAAGGGCTCAGCTCCAGGAGTCAGAATCTGAAGGGGAGAAGGGCTTATTGTCTAGTCGCTCAGTCGTGTCCAACACTTTGCGACCCCATGGACTGTAGCCCACCAGGCTCCTCTGTCCATGGGATTTCCCAGGCAAGAATACTGGAGTGGGTTGCCATTTGCTTCTCCAGGGGATCTACCCCACCCAGTGATTTTTTTTTTTTTTTACCACTGAGCCACCAGGGGAGCCAGGAGAAAGGCTTGGTGGACCTTTATAAAAAGAACAAACCAAATCATCTCCTGGACCTGCGCACTCAGTCAAGGGGTGAGCAAAACACACAGGAAACCACTAATCCACCACATATTCAGAATCATTTTAGAAACTTCTACTTGAAAAATTTTTAAAGGGAACACTTCAACTCAGGAGAGATGGTATGTCTTTCCATTTGAAAACTTTTATTCTTCAAAATGATATACTACATATGTGCTGGTTATATCATATTTGATTCTATAGCATTCATAATTTTAAAAATATTTTATTATTAAAATTATGCATGCACATCAGAGAAAATTTAGAACATATAAGATAATATAAAGGAGACATTGAAATTGCCCATAACATAGTACTCAGAGATTGTCACTGTCAAGCTTTTGGTTTTTCCCTTTAAATTTTTTACATTTCTTTTCATAAATATGTTTACAACATAAAATATAATTGGTTAAACTGTCTATTGTAAATTGGTGACTGAAAAACACAGGACAAAACTGTATATAGAACTATAACCTGATCTTTTTGGTGTAACGTTATATCACACACAATTTCCCATGTCACCGAAGTTTTTTAAACACCACTTTGTTGTGGTTGTTCAGTTGCTAGGTCACAGCCAACTCTTTGCAGTCCCATAGACTGCAGCATGCCAGGCTTCCTGTCCTTCACTCTCTCCCAGAGTTTGCTCAAACTCATGTCCACTGATCGGTGATGCCATCCAACCCTCTCATCCTCTGTTGTCCCCTTCTCTTCCTGCCCTCAGTCTTTCCCAGCATTAGTTTCTTTTCCAATGAGTCAGCTCTTCATATCAGGTGGCCAAAATATTATTGAAGCTTCAGCATCAGTCCTTCCAATGAATATTCAGGGTTGACTTCCTTTAGGATTGATTGGTTTGATCTCCTTGCTGCCCAAGGAACTCAAAAGAGTCTTCTCCAGCACCACAGTTTGAAAGCATCATTTCAAATGACTTCATTCCATCCTACAAATACACTGTCCGTGATTTGACTATTCCCTGACTGTTGAGCATTTATGTCATGTTTCATGTATCACCACAATAAATAATGAATATCCTTGCACAGAACTATTTGTCCACCTTAATCATATATTCAACAAACATTTACTGAACTTCTGTAAGTGCATCCCTCTGAGAGTCCAAGAGGACAAAACCCTCACTTTAGTGGAGTATACATAATAGTAGCGGCAATAAGCCATAAATAAAAGTGATTGAATAATGTGATTTCATCAAAATATGCATAGAAATGAATGAAAATGAAAACACAACAACCCAAAACCTATGGGACACTGTAAAAGCAGTGCTAAGGGGAAGATTCATAGCATTACAGGCCTACCTCAAGAAACAAGAAAAAAGTCAAATAAATAACCTAACTCTACACCTAAA